TAAAAATATAAAATATACTCTGAAATCTGGAATATCTAAAGTCAAAAGCATCCTACACATGAATATATTAAACTCCAGATTTAAGTAACTTTGACTTTTCTGTTTTGACAGGCAGTTCCAGATCCTTGTTTCTCTATGTTTCAAGAATGCTTTTAATATTCAGTCTTTTATACTGTATAATAACACATTTTGTCATTCTACCTGTGATACATGTTAGTTTAAATAGAAAGTTTTCAATTGTTTCTCATTTTTGCTTTTCAGACCTATTCCCACTATTTGTTACAAAGGAATAGGTAAATAGAGGACCATAATTTTTCTGGAAAGACTTCAATATGTTTATTCTCTTACTATAGCCTAATGGCTTTGTCCTTGTTGCAAGAAAGAACAAAAAGAACACTAAAACGCACTGAGAATGAACTTTGTAAGTGCTTCCTCAATTGCCGTATGGGGTGATCCCAGCACATGAAAAAGGACAATATTTCTTCTGCCAAATATCATCCTGAGCTGTAGGTTCATTGTGGCACTGGCCTCTTTGCATTTTGGCAATCTTTTCCCAAAGGATTATACTTAGCAGGGACTCCTCCAGCCAGTTCAGATTGGATCTAATTTTGTAGGCTAAGGGAAACAGTTTGGACTGCAAGGCCTTTCCCAGGCATTTGTTGTCCCGGTATCACTAGGTACATAGATGAGGTATATTTATTTCCTGTCCCTCCCCTTATGTTTCCATCTGGGGCAGAAATAAATCCAATGAATGGAGGGCTGTATTGCTTAGCTGTGTAGAGGGGCTGCTTTGCTCTGTGTGGGTGCTACCTGCTGAGCTGCACTGAGCTGAGATCTTCAACAAGCTGCTTACAAGAGGCACCCAGGGCTGCCTTCCGGAATATTCACAATTAATTTAAGATCCTGCAATGTGTACCGAGTAGTTCTAATTATTCCATCAAAGTGCATTATGGTGTTTCTGTCTTTATCAAGTCTAATCTGCTATCAGGTTGTTAATTTGCCTATGTTTATTAGAGCCTCTCACAGTCTTCTCCAGATTTCAGTTCCCTAAACAATTTTGCTATATGAACTCTTTTTAACTTGCTTTTCCTTTCAGATAATATGATGTTCCAGCACTTTTCACATATATTCATTTCAGGATCAATTGTTCCATACTGAACCTTCAGGATTTTCATGTCCTCTTTTGCATGTTCATATGTCTGTGTATTAATTGGGGTTATTGGGGTATAAATTACAAGGTTCCTCATCGCCAACAAAGATCATTAAAAATAGGAGGGCTTTTTTTCCAAAATGTGTGAGAAAATAATTTTCCTCTTAAAAGCCCAATCATATCTGTTCCCATACTCTTTCTTTACGAGAGTTAGTCAGCTATTTCCTTTTCTCTTCTTCATATTTTCTAGTCCATTGAAAGACATTTGTTTTTATTATGTCTCTTTCTACAATATATTTCACCTGAAACGTATTTTTACCCCATTTCATATGCAGGTTTCTGAAAGTTGTTTGTTATTTATAGGAGAGTATCATAAGTAGAACTATCTCAAATAATCGCCCAATCTTTGTCTTGCATACTTTTTTTTTTTTTCCTTTTTCATTCCTCGTGTCTGAATCCAAACATGAAATATAGTAAAGTGCTGAAATGTGACTGAAATCAAGAGCTCTCTTATCTACAGGTCTTTCAAGTGGTTTCTAACAGTAGAATAAATGCCTACTATTGATTTAATAGTGTGATCCAGAAATGTATTTGAGAGCAATTATTTTCCTATAAGTTACAGAGAACTTGTCCAAACCACTGCCAGCCCCATAGCAGCAGCAAAAGAGGGTGAAGAGACCAAATCCATTTAAGGGTTTTGCCCGTCAGACCCACCATACCATGCCTGATGTGGGGACAGATAGCTCCTCAGACTGAAGGGGCTCAGTGCCCTGTTCAGCATCTCCAAGTCCCCCATCATGCAGTGGTGGCTGTGCTGAACACACACACATGCTCCCAGCCATGCAAAGTCACATTGCTCAAATGGAATTTGAGCATTAGTCTGTTCTTTCCCTACTCTCATCATTTAGCCAGGGGCAGCACAGCGTTTTTGTTTAGCTTTGGAGAGAAAAGATAGCTCTTAACATTCAAGGCTTTGGTCTGCAAGATAGAGATGTGTCCGTGATGCTTCAGGACAAAAGCCAGCTGATAGATAGGGTGGCAGGAGCCTTTTTGGAGAAAGCGGAAAGAACAGAACTAGCCTTGAACCTAGCTGTTGGCTCTATCTAGGGAAAAAAAATATTTTGAGCTTGCTAACAAGGTCTGCTATCTTTTGTGTATTTAGAGGAAGGTCTGAAACAAGAGTACAGTACAGTGTGAGCAGCGTATACATATCTACATATCATGCAGAGTATGAAGGATTTTTATTATTATTATTTATTTTAAAGTCAGATTGGTAAATCTTCACTTGAGATATTTAAATCACACCCAGTTTTCACCATGTTCACTTCGAGTTTAGCAGAAAGTTAAGCAGGTCTAAAAAGCGTGCTTTTTCAAAACCTGCTTGTTTACATAGTGGTATTCATTACTCTTTGTTGCAATTTATTTTGAAATGAAATTTACCCTCCTCATCGAGATGGTGAGTTTTACACAATCTGAAGTTTGTAGATACACATGCAAAAGCGAGGTATGGCTATTGTAAATCATTACCCTGGCAGTGCTCCCAAGCCCTCAGGGCTTCAGCTGTTACACTGATAGAACAGATAGAAGCTTTACATAGAATTAATCCAAGTCAGTTACAAAAACAATATTATACCTATGTAAGTCTTGTGAAAATTAGCGTTGCTTTCTGGAAATGCTTGAAAAGTATCTAGTATACAAATGTACAGAGATAATACATGATCATACAAATAACAGAGGGGACTTAGAAGTCATTTATAAACTCCAGCTGACACATGCCTTAATAGAAGAGCCTGGGGAGGTGGAAACGGAAGCATATCATAAAAAAAAAAAAAAATCATTATTTAAAATATTTTATGTTTCAATATAGCCTTATTTATGTTGTCAGTTTTTAAAGACACTACTACATAATTAGCATCACAGTAAATGAGAATTAGTGATCTTTCCCTATTTATTTATTTATTTTTGAAATACGAATAGAAATACGGACACATTTTCCCTTGGGTGGTGTGGTTTAATTGGGTTATTTTTTTATAAGGTTTTTTTTTTGAACTGATCCGAATAGTCTGAGACATGTCAGAGAAATCTTGTTGCACTAAATAAACCTTTAATAATATTTCACAGCTGATTACTTTGTGAATTAATTTGCCCTTGAGCAGAAGTAAATGGTCAGTGGGACCCTTGTGTTTGGGCGTAGCACAAAGGAACTGCAATCACTGTATCAGTACCTGGTGAGAGTACTGGAAAACAGAAGGAAAAGTAATGGAGAAAAAGAGACAGGAATTACACAGCAGATGTAACTGGTGTATCCCACACTACCTGCTGGTTTAAGAGACCTCTTTCTTTCCTCCTTGAAATGCAGACAGTCTCTGCTCAAGTTCATTGGTTTAAAGTGAAGGGAGTTATCTCACATTTATGCAGTTTTTGCCATTTGTAACCCCTGAACAGATTCTCACCCAGCAGCTCTCTTTAAACCTGGAAAAGGTCAGGCCCTCGCTCCTTCAGTCTTTATTATTAAAAGCTTCCTGTGTGGTTTTACTGTAGAGAAAGAGGCAGTGACCTTACATTTAATCTCATCAAAGACTCCGTGCCGTAACTTACTTAAAAGACTCCTTATGCAGGGTAGCTTTAGCCAAGGAGTCTTTCGCCAGACGATGTTATTTTTAAAGCAGCGTGCAGAATATCCCTTTGCTGCAGACTCCAACTGCTGACTAAGCAGTCTCTCCACTGCCTGGAGTAACGAGAACCGAGAGAGGTCTGAGGGAATCTGTGCTCAGCCAAATCTATCCCATATGCATGCAAAACCCAGTTGAAATCAGTCATGAGGCCGTACAGCTGTATAGGAGTACATGTGATTTATGGCAAGGCAAAGGATTTGCAGAATCCTCCCTCTTTGGTGGTTTCATTTTTTAATACCTCAGCCTGAACAGAGTTAATTTTCTATTAATGAAGCAAAATAGAGTAATTAGCTCCTCAGCTTGTGCATATGTTTCCCCAAAATGCCTTTGCTGGGTTTCTGAAGTTCACAGGACTTCCAATTTTACCCACTGTTAGAATTTCTCTGTTTAAAAATGCAGCTGACATATCATGAAAAAAATGTTTCTGCTGTGAGCTCTGCACGCACGCTCTGATAAATGCCTTGTCACATTTGCTCTGCTTTGTACTTGGAAAGATTCGTATTTGTTTGCTTTTATGTTTGTACACCTCTCTGGATTTTGTGCGTCGTCTCTGGGAAGGGATGAGTCCGTCAGGGATGACGGCTTCTGAGCACAATGTGCTGTTCTGCATTTGGCTTTTCTCCACAGGGATTAGGTAGAGCTGGACCATGGATGAAAGGTTCAAACTCTGCCTTGGAAAAGCCCATTCTTGGCCCTTTCCACTGAAAAGAGTCATTGCATCATTCACCTCTGGTTCAGGAAAACTTCCTAAGCCAAATTACTATTCCTAAAGAGGAAGTGTCCCTGGAAGTGCTCAAGGCCAGGCTGGATGAGGCTTTGGGCAACCTGGTCTGGTGGGACGTGTCCCTGCCCATGGCAGAGGGGTTGGAATTAGATGGTCTTTAAGGTCCCTTCCAACCCAAACCATTCTGTGGTTCTATGAAGGAAGGGGGGCAAAAAAGTGCTGCCTTGTACTTGTGGCACAAAATGGCAGGTCCTGGTTCCTTTCATTACCTTGGAAAGATAACTTCACCTCTCCATGCCTCAGTTTATGAAAAGTAGAAAAATGCTACTTGGTGTTATTACCAATCAGTTTGAACACTGTGAGGCTAAACTGAGGCACTTCAGCCTTGCACAGCCCCATTGTTGGTGTGAAATACACAAAGCAAGCAGGTGGGAAGGGAATCCTGGCTTACCTTGCTGCTTGGCTGGCTCTCCCAGGAGCAGGACTCGGCCTCCTGCGGTGTGATGCCTCGCTGGAAGGAGTGGTCGCCCAGGCAGGTCTGGCACAGGGGAGCCTCCAGCTCTGAGTCCCCTGCAGGTAAGTGCATCACAGTGGACCCTGGGTATTTGAGGCTGGCGTTTGGGTGCTTTTCCACACTGACCATCGGGCTTTTAATCCACCTCCGTACCTGTTGACACAGAAAGAGATTATAGACTCCCTTGCCTGATTTATGGAAAAAACTGGGATAGAGCAGCAGGGTTTCTAATGTGGATAAAGGCACAGATTAGGGAAAATAATCAGATATGATTGTAGGATCAGATACCATATAGGTTATGGTGTGTGAACATCACAGGGCTCTTTTAAGCTGAGAATCATTTGAATCATTTGCTGCTTCGTGCAAGTCTGTCATCAGTTTATCTACAATAACAACTGTTCAAGCTTTATAAAGATATTAAAGTGCATGATAGACTGCTGAGAAGAGGAAAACAACTACCTGAAGCAAGTACTCCCAGCCTAGACAGCTCAATTTTCCTTCTTGAGAGAAAGCTGCCTGTTTTTGCAAGTATGAAATACTAATCTCATAAATTGTCTGCAGTCATTTTCAAGAGAAGTATCTTTTGTTCATATTTGACCTTGCATACCATCTCAGCCTTATCTGTACCTCCTCCTGCTACATTCGAGGACCTGTTTCTGCCAATGACCTGCCCTGGATTTTGGCCCTGATCCCTCTAAGCTGCCTCCCCCTGTGTCTCCTTTTCCCCGATCTCCCTGTGCAGGATATGGTGCGCTGCAGCAGGAAGCACCTGATTCACAGGTGCAGCACGCTGTGCTCTCAGGGCTTTGTGTGAGCCCTGTGCACAGTTTGCTTTTCCTTTCACTTCTCTGACTGTCTCTTTTATGGCATGTGAATTGAACGTGCTGCGGTTTCTAAGTGAGGAGCCAGAGACTTTCCTGAGCTGTTTTTCCAACCCATTTTGTGCAAAGGAAGCAAAGAGATGTGTTCTGTGTTACGTTTGCACCCAATCTGTTCAAAACACAGTTGACAAACATACATTTATCTCCATTCCCATTTACTCTGCCTTTTGGGTGCAGGCAGTAGGAGCGTATGAGGACATGTGCTATCAGGACTGACTGCTGGGCCGACACCTATTTGCTCTGTGAGCTGAAACCTCTGTAGGTGACAGGGAGCCCTTGCCCTCCGCTCCGCTTGCTCAGCTTCCACCAAGGGGAAACCAGGAGGAGCATTTGGCCTCCTGCTGCATTAGGGGATGATGTTTGCTGTTAGATGATGCTTTACATTGGAAAATAAACTTTTTTTTTACATTGCATTAGTCATAAGCGTGATGCCAAGTTTTTGGTTAGCAGTGGGAGTCTCTGCCACAGCAACTGGTTACCACGATGGCTTGTGGCAAACAAACAGAACAAAACGTGTCTGACTGGCCTCCTCCTGGTGACTCGTCAGTGAGTGATACACCCGCGATTGCCCTGCTCTGCTGACCCACCGGAAATCTCAAGGTTAGGAACATTTTTTCTTTCCTCTCTATGGAAACCAAGCAAACAGATGTCCATCTGTGGGTAAACGTGCCAATTCCCACTGCATTCTCTGTCTGCAGTTTCTGGTGATGCCATTTGGTGTGGACTGTGTCAGTCCCTGATTCTGTGTTCTGGAGCATCCCTACAAACCCGGCACTCCATTTGCCCATTACAGCTCCTGGGTGCAGTAGAAGGCAGGTGCAATGTCTGCATGCTTTGGTAACAGTTTTTCTCAGAATTAAAACCCAAGTACCTAAAGTTTTGTAGAATCTTTTTTTCCAGGATGTTAAAACCAAAATATATTTTTATTGATCTTCTCTGCTTTCATAATTCCTAAATTCCCTAATAGTCCTGAGAGATTTTTTGCTCACCATTTTCCTTATGCAGACTTTTCTGACTTCTGGTTGGTAGGTTGAAGTTGCAAGAGGGAAGAATTATTTTTTTTCAGATTTTGTTTCAATAAACATACTTCGAAACTGTTCTTTTGACTCTAGCATGTTTTAAACACATTTATTTTGCCAAACATAATTGTTTCTATGGTTGTTAAGCACATCATTAATTATGATACTTTTTCCAAGTAAATTCATAGTTGTGTGTCTCAATCAAATTCCAGAACATGTTATGTTGAAAAGAATAATTATGTTCCTGCACCAAAAAAACAAAAAACAAAACCAAACACCACCAACCAACCAACAAGCCTAAAACCAAAAACAACCAAACCTACCAACCATCCAACCATACAAACAAAACAAAACAAACAACAACAACAAAAAAGCCACATGCTTGATTTTCCAGGGGAGTTTTACTATGGGAAACATACGGCATATCGAATGTCATCTCAAGAGGAGTAAACTGTACATTTTGACCTTTTTATGTTATTCTGGTGATGTTAAGTGTTTTGTGACCTGTTTCTACCTTTCTTCCTTGACATCCTGCGTCTTCAGTCAGATATTTATGGGCAAGCCAGCAAGCATGCATAAAAATACCAAACAGGCAGTATTGAGGGAGCTGTACTGCAACAAGGTGCAGGTTCAGTTTTACTCAAAATTTAAGGGACATATTCCATTTTTTTGTTCAAGACTGCTTGATTATATATCATCAGCCCAGGAAGGAACTCAAATGCAAATTTGGGCTTGAGATTCCATTGAGCCAATGATGTTCAGCTTTGTGATTTCAAATTCAGGACATTTGGAGTGACACAATTAATCATAATTTATGTCACAGATTCATCTGTTTCCATTTACATATCTCTAGTATTGGGGAGCATTTAAACTGTGATCTGGGTATCATCTCAACCGTGATGAGAAATGAAAAAGAAATATGATTACATATACTGATCTGAACTCATTGTTCTGTTCAGTACAACAGGGTTTAAGGGAAGCTAAGGTGAAAAACTTCTGCAGGAGCCGGCTTAGAGACTTAACAGAGTAGCAGGATTTTTATTTTTATTATTTTATTTTATTTTATTTTATTTTATTTTATTTTATTTTATTTTATTTTATTTTATTTTATTTTATTTTATTTTATTTTATTTTATTTTATTTTATTTTTGTTAGTAGCTGGAAGTAGTTTAAATAAGTTAGCCGATCTAAAGTTCAAATGAACCCACAGAGAGGAGAGTTAAAACCATTCTACTTCTCCTGTGTTGAATGGGGCGAAGTTTACATTCACAGATAGTCAGCTGCGTTTGCTCAGTCTGTGGTGTTGTGTCGACTTGGCAAAATTCAGCAAAGCCTCAAATGTGGGCTTCACACCCACCGACCAGGGTGCAGTCTGGGGCTGAACCAGTGCTGCTGCTTCGGTGGGTGCCAAATGCTGTGGCAAGAGTGCTTGTGCTCATTATTTTTAGATGTTGTCTACATGGATGTGTTAATGTCCATTGACCTAAATATGAAGTAGTTAAGCATGCAGCAAAGTGTCGTGTAGACAGCTTGCTCCAGCATTAACACAGACTTAATTCATCCCATAGCCATTTGCTTCGTTTATCTAGCTTAAAATTTCTGTCGTGATTGTGAATTAAAATGTCCATGAGGACCTTAATGACATTTAACTAATCTTCTGTAATTTTACATCTTTGGCTAATTCAGACTAATGTCCCTTAGTGTCCCTCTGCAGACAAACCCTACATTTGCCTTTTAAATTTCACAGATAATGCAGAGTAACGTGCACAGAAGAGAATGATAATTGTTACCAGTGCTCAGAGTAGAAAACTGTATGCTTCGCCACTGACTTTTGATGTTTATGGCCATCCAAAAGCATTGAAAATGTTGATCTGAAACTGCAAGTATGAATTGGCACCACCTTCATAGCAGCCGGGCCAAGAACAGACTTCTGAAGAAAAACAACTTCCCTGGGTTTAGCTCTGCAGGTCTCAGGTTTCTATTGAGGTTTGCAGATTATATGTTACTTCTCAGAGTGACTCATTTACGTTTATTGAAATGTTATGCATGCGTGTTAGTCATTGAATTGTAAGTACACACTATAGGTTTTTGTCTAGCTTTAACCTTAATAGACTTCAAAGATTTTTACACATTTAATATTTACATTTACACTAGCACTAGACAAGTACCTTAGATCTATTGCTCTCTGTTTGACTTGGGCTATCTTAAATGTCACCAACGATTTTCAAGTGCAATGCTTCATTCCTTTGAACTCACTTCCACTTAAAAATCTCCAGCACCGCATTGCACAAAAAGAAGAACAATTTTGAATAATTTTCTCACAGTTGCTTCCCCGAATGACAAAGACAGAAAGATTAACAAGGAGCAGATGATAGCTCATTATTTATGGAACTGTATGATATGCAGATACCACAGTGCTAATGCATCATTCTTCACAGTAATGTAAGGTATATTTGATTATTCAAACATATTTTTATTCTTAACATGATATCCAACTACCAGTAAATAAACTAAAGCCTGCTCCCAGCTCAGGAAGCAATTCTGTTCCAAACTCTTTCTGGAGATTTATATACTTTCATTTCAAAACAAGGCTCTTTAAAACCTCCAGGCAATGCTCTCCACCGTTACAGGGTATAAACAGCTGACTCAAAGTGTGGCTGAAGGAATCAGTATAGAGCTGAGTAGTTCAGAAAAGTGCACCCAGTTCCTCTTGTCCCATCTTGACTGTAGGTTCATTATACCTTTTTCTCATCAAGAACTCATATCCACTAGAAATTATTTCTGCTACATGCCCATTGTGGAGCACCCAACAGCTTCTGATTAAGCTATAATTGTGCTTATGAGATTTGCTGTTCCCAAACTAATCCTTTGAAGGTGCAACCTCCTAGGCCTGTGCAGATGGTCTTGAGTCTGATTTGCTGGTGGTGTGAGCTGAGCAGCTGCCAGTGATCTGCACATCAGCATCCCATCATGCTCAGGGATACTGTCCCTTGCTGTTTGCTGAGGCTGAGCAAGACCATCTGTACCCGTCCATGCAGACAAGGTTAAGGTTTGTCAAATATTGCCTTAATGATATTACCTGGAAGTTGATTCCAAATGTTTCAGTGAACCCTTGCCATGTTTTATTTGGAGAGAATAAAATTCAAAGCAAAAAAAGGTAGCTCAACAAAATTAGCTGAAGAGTAATCAGCTTTAACACATCTACTAACATGAATAATTTTTGAAGAGAGTTTAGAAGATCTTAATGCAGCTCATTTAAACTTTTCAAAGCACAGAAGTTTCACAGTTTCAAGTCAAATGTCTTTTCTTTTTTTTTCCTTTTTTTTTTTTTTTTTTTTTTGGGTGGGGGGGCATAACTATAGTATATTTAGATTAAGGGAGAATAAAGAGATTGAGACAGATGGCTTGCTCTGAAATGATCAGAATAAAAATTTTTTGGCTGAGTAAAATCAACCTTTCCTTGAGATCTTCAATTTGTTAAGATACATGTATTTCTGATTTAGACTTTTTCATCTAAATTTGCTGTGGGAATTAAATGCATGTGAAATGGTAAATTTACTTCTCACTGTAGTTTTCTGTTTGTTAATTTGGGATAGAACACATTGTTTGGAACAAATGCAGTTAGCTTCATAGTCACAGACTTTCATGGTTAAGAGTAAACTTAAGTATAGCTCTTTACCCTGTCACTTTTTTTTTTTTTTTTTTTTTTTGGGTACTTCTGCTTTTACTGGAACACCAAAGACCTTTGCAGTTAGCCAAAGCTGTTCAGTATTTCTTATCTTTCTTGCAGTGACTGTAAATCGTAAACAAAATTGATGACATTTTGCCTATCCTTTCAAGAGAAGTGAGTTCATAAGTATTGCACACCCTTCTGGGATGTAGTCATCTGCTGCTAATTCTAAACTAAATTAAAATGTGACTGCCCTTGTCATAAACAAGAGAATAGCCTTAAATACCCCTTTTCCAATCATGGATTACAATATCAGTGTTAAAGTATATATAGAGAAAGACATATATATATATTAAAAGTCTCTTTATTATCTGAATCTTGTTTGCTCTAGTTTCTTTGTTTGCTTTACTTGCTAAAACCATGATATCCAACAGTGATAATCTCTCAGACTAGAAATTGCCAGATGTGATTAAATGAGATTTGCCAAGTTCCAAATTTTTTTCCACTCATTGCTTTTCCTCTTATGTAATAACAAGCAGATACGGCTTTTAATTTCATGTGGCTCAGTTGTCAATGGCATCAGTCAACTCAGCACAATTTGTACTTTAATCAGGTGTTCATAAGTCAGTCCCAATCACTGTAATAATGAGAAATATTTTTCATGAAAGAAACACCAGCATGCTCTCTGAGGGCCGCTACTGATGCAAGTGTGGCTTTAGCTGGAGTGAAGCAGGTGCTGATGGCACCTGTGGCCATTCTTTGGCATTTTCCTTGGATCTGGGGGCTTTGGAAAGCCTCGTACTTCTCAGGACACCAGTGGGCTAGTTTGCTGACTTCCCAGCTGTGGGCTGGAGTCTCAGGCATGCTGGAAACATTGGAGAAGAAAAGACCTTTTTCAGAGACC